CAACGCAATCTTCGTCGCGACGAAATCGATATACCGATAACGCGTCGTCGTACGAGCATCGCACGTAGTATCCGATGCTAAATACCTCGTGCTGCTGGTAGGTGTACGATGCGTCTTCCCTCTCTGCCGGTTCCGTTCGCCGTAGTACGCACTCCAAGTCCGCGTAAACGATGAATGGAAGTCGTTCCTTATTCGTGTGGTTCTTGAATTCGAGCCACTTGTCGTCCTCACTCGGCAGTCGGATGGCGCAATCGTTCATCTTTTCGCAGTCCGTTGTATGTGGCTGCAATCTTTCAGACGAACTGAAGTAATGTAGACATCTGCAAACGGAAAATATGATTTTTAGTATTTAATAAACAATTTTATAAGAGAAATAATAAAATTTGTTAAAATACATACCGGTCGCAAAAGTATTTCTTGCATTTCTTCTTGTTTATTTGCGAGCTCACAAGACGGGACAGATCTTTGATGTACGCAAAGTGCCCCGCGTTGTCGTCGCGCGGATCCTGCACGTACAATAAATTTGCGTGCTTCTCCATCTTCCTTGATGTCAGCCGTATCGGGAGAATCTCCTTTTCCTTGATACCGTAGACGTTGATTGAGATGTCGTTGAGATGTTCGAACTTTTTAATTTGATTCAACGTCATCGGAAACGTAATGTCTTGGAGATTTAACACCGTCGTATAATGTGGATACGATGATTCCCGATTTGTATGCCTTTCGACCGGATGCAGAGCCGCGACCACTGACCATGCGAAACACGCATTATCCGTTGACTGCACGTTAATTACCGCTCGCTTTAACATAATTTCCCGCGGTAACTCGATGTAACATCCCGCATGCATTGGATTATATTTGTTCACGTTTATAGTCAAATTTAGAATTCGCGACAACGCCCATCCGCGTTTTTGGAATTCTTCGAGCGACGCCAACGTGGGTTCGATGACGTGCTGCTCGTACCACTCGTCCAAATTTGACACTCGAAAGAGTTCACTATTTTTAGTGTTTATACTTTTGTTCGCGCGTTTATCGCCCGTCACAAACTCGCCGTTAAATGCAGTGTTCACTTTCACACTATCGTGTCTTTATATAATGTCTCGCACTCGCTCGAGCACTACACCACCAGCGTCTTCTAAAAATTGTCGCGGTTCGATATAATCCACATTGATCACCGCACCAGTCAATATACGGCTTTCAAATGCCGTATCGATTTCTTGCCAAACGAGAGATCCATTGTCTCTACTGGTGCTCGCGTACTCACCACCAACGTGCACGAAACGTCTTTCTAGTTGTACTTTTGCACCCGCGAGTCGCGCGATCCTCGCCACTGCAGATTGTCTATTTGCAACGGTGAGTCGAGGACGCTTAACACGGCCTCGAGTTGTTCGATGCACTCCTCACATCGTTGCAACCACGCGAAACACTCCACCAAGGTAGCGACTTGGCTGCACTGCTCCAGCAGCTCGCGTTCCACTCGCTCTAGGTGTTCCATATTGCAAAATTGTGATTTTTTTTAAATTGTTGTACTGTCTCATCAAAAAACAATTTTACATTTTTTTACTTTCTTTTTTTCTTTTTTCTATAGCTGCTTTAACTCGAAGCCAGTATACAAAGCGTTGTATTTCCGCCATGTCCGGAGATTGATGGGAATAGAACAACCATATATGATTATCGCTTCTTGGAATTATCTCTGCTACTTTTTGCCGCGAGAGAGTAGTAATATATTGTATGCGTGTCCTCTATAATGATAATATGTGCACGCTTCCAGAATTATTTCCGCTCTCTCAGAAGGAGCGGAGAAGCAGAGAGTCGAATTGTAGCGTCCCTTAACTCTTGGACGAGAAATCGAGAAATGGGGAGTTGAGGTATAGTGTCTCTTTATAAAATACACCGCCACGTTCACTGATAGATGAGAGATTGAATCCCATAACGGAGAACTTGTTAATTCTTCCAATGACCTTTCCATATTGTTTTATATATCACATCACACTCTTCCACTTGCATATGCCTCGTTCACAATGTTGTCTTTTTTCAATTTGTGCAAATTGGGCACATGTTGCATGGCATTATCATACAGACGGACTGTTAGCAATTGGAGCAAAATCGGCTGTTTAGCGCATTGAGAGTATCTATCTCGTGCTTCCTAACGGCATACAATACTCCAATGTCAGTGTCCGCCAGACGAACCATGCATTCGGCACACCAGAGTTAATGACACCACCCGTTGAATATAAAATTGTATTGAATTAATACTTTTTATATTATTCAACGTCAAGGAGTTCCGAACGAGTGACAATTTTTTCTGCATAATCCGTAAGGTCATCACTTTGATCACTTACGTAATTGCTATCGTCAGACAATGCGTGCTCTTCGTCTTCAATATCAATGTCAATATTGTCAATATTGTCAATTTCTACTTCTTCTTCATTTTCAAACACTTCGTCCACTATATTCACAAAGTCTTCCTCATCCATATTAAACACATTTTCTATATTTAACACATTATCCATTTTCACCGTCACCTATTTTTTTTTCACTACTACATTAGACTTCCATCTACTGTGATCCTGCACACCGCATGACCCATTATATATCATCGACAATTTCTTTGTCCCTTGTCGGAGCATCATCATAGGTC